GACATTTGGGATAAGAATTATGTTTGGGAGGTAAGGTTGGTATAAGGAGAAAGTACAGAATGGTACTAACTCCGGTATTGCTTGAATGCTTTAACCTACTTAACATTTCTTGGTGCTTTTAAATTCTTTAGCTCAGGAACGAATGGTATCATATGGTATTTTGTTAATTTATTTGATTTCAAATCCGAATGTGTTAAACAAGTCATAGCCAAACAGATTTTCGCTCGCGTTCACGTTAACTACAATGAGAACTACACTTTTTCCCAATTACCGCATTTAATTGTTGTGTGCAATTCGCCTAAAACAGGTATTATCTTTCTGCCAAATACATATAATATTCGGTCTGTTTTCTTTAGACTTGGTTTATTTAACTGTTCGTAAGTTTTTAAATTTATTGCCGAGATTGACGCGCCTGAGTCCATTTGAAATGCAATTTTATGTCCACTTATTTCCACACCAATAAAACTTTTTAGCTGTTCAATATTTCCCCCGTCAGATATATCAAGTATTTTGCCAATCATGCCACTGTTTTTGAATTTACATTCTTCCCTTTTGTGTTTACTAAAACACCCCGAACACGATTTGAATTTTCGGATACTATTCTCCTTGTTTTTATTTTCATATTTTCTGTTTTGTTTGAATTGATCTCTCTTCAATAAATTTACACCTATTGTCTTTTCACTCTTCACCTCTTTTAATACACCAACCGCTGTTGTTGTTGCCTCATATGGCTCTGCTATTAATAACACATCAGTAAGCGTTGATCTCTGCTTCTGGAGCAGAGCATCTCCATCATTTTTTTTATGTGTCTTATGAAAATTTTTTAAATGTCTTATGAAAAAAAGTGGTTTTTTAAATGTTTTTTATACGACGCAAAGGTTGTTATAATATGAATTTTTCAACAATTTTTAAAAATTTTAATCATTTCCAATTCCAAAATCGGTTTGACAGTTCATTGTCTCAGCAGCTGTGTCGATGCGACTACCTGTATTCTTCTACCATGCAAGGAACTGAACATTTATTCAAATAATTTCTAAGCTACTATTTACAGGGTTGACAATTTCGGGACTTATGATAGTGTTGGTATTAAAGTAGTACTAATATAATCTCTAAAAGTACCATTAAGCAAATACAAAGTGTACATATATTACACAAACTTTAATTAAATAAAACTTGAATTTTATATGAAACAATGATATTACCATGGTAGAATCAAGAAGATAAAGTCATGCAAACATATGCTTACAAGTTTTTTCAAAAATTATTCGTTTGACAATATTTCATTGTCAAAATTTAGATATATACATCCATTGTAAACACACAAATCAGAATATGCAGAGATGGGTATGCTTATTTGAAATGACTTTACCTTCTTATTTTTACCATGGATTATACTTTCTTAACAAAAAAAAAGTAAAACAATGAGAATTTTTTACTTCACAGAAGTTAAATTTTATATTTCAATTTCAAATTTATATACTGTTTTAGACGAAAATTTAAGAATATGCCCCAAATTAAGATTTTTCAGGATAACTAATAATTTCAACCTTTTCTATTGAGTGTCATATGTCTGCCCACACTTAGCACCATGGTAGAATTAAGAAGGTAAAGTCAAACAATCGTATGTATAAATTTTCTTCAAAATTATCCATTTGACAACGTCTCATTGTCAAAATGATTTTGAAAAACATAAATTCAAATTCAAAATAAAAATTTTGAATTTGAAAATATGAAAACGTATTTCCTATGCAAACAAAAATAATTTTTCGCCGAAATTGATATTTTTCTGTTATGCCCAAATCCGAAGAAGAGCCAAATGATGGTCCCAAGCATGTGACACTTATAATTTTTGGACAGGCATCGTTTAATTTTCCAAACGGAGCTACGTCCCATCTCTTCGTCAGATTCTGTGTATGCAGATGTACCGGGATCTAAAAAAATTTCAAAGAATAGATTATGTTGCGTTTTGAAAGGAAGGAGTAATCCCAACTTCATACCAGATCTCGTGTTGGTAGAAATATTGGGGTGTGCAAAATTTTAAGACAACTTCCTCTTCACATTGTATATGATATATGGTTGTTCAAAATGTTGAGTCTTTGTGGGGAGAGCCAGGAGGACCGATGTATCCCTTCTCCACAAGAGATCCTGTATTGATGCAAATGTTCGTGTGTACCGTTCAATACGCCTTTTATGGGTGGCAATGTCATTCAAAATTCTTCTTTAAAAAATGTATATTGCATTAATCAGGATAAAAAGGGCGAACTTCGGAATAAATCCTCTAATTACGGGACACATATTGGGCGAATCATGGATGGAACCGATTACAAAATACCTTTAACCATTTTTTTTTCACAAACATTTCACAAGATTAATTGAATATTTGAATGGTTTATAAATGTTAATTAACAAGTCTTGTTTTTGTTGTGACAATTCATTTGAACGATTGTATTTGACAAGCTCAGTTACAGAAAAGGCAAAGATGGGAATGCTTATTTGAAATGACTTCACCTCCTTAATTCTACCACGCTTAGCACATGATAATGATAGAGGAATACAGGTAGATGCATCGACGTTGGGAACATTGATATGTCAAAAATGTTTAAATGTCTCTTCAAATATAATTAGATTTTATAAGTTTTCTTATACGACGTCATTCGGAGGTTATTATAATACGCGTTATCAACCATTTTTACAAATATTAACAATTTTTCATTCAATATTTTCAATTCCAAAGATGGGAATGACTTCACTTCCTTAATTCTACCATGCTTATCACATGATCATGATAGAGCAATACAGGTAGATGCATCGAATGCATTAAAGGATTTTTCATTTAACATTTTCAATTCCAAAATTGGTTTGGCAGTTCATTGTTCCAGCAGCTGTTTCAAAGCGTCTACCTATATTCTTCTACCATGGCACATGATAGAGCAGAATAGAACCAAACACCATACCAAAAAACTAACCACATTGACCATTTTTATACCCTCCACCTTGAAAAGGAGGATATATTAACTTTGTCATTTCCGGCCGAATTTAATGTTTTTTCTTGTTAACTACAATATTGAAATAACCATGGTACAATAAAATAAATGTAACCTCATTTCAAATCAGCATTCCCAGCTCTGCACTTTCTGTAACTGAGTTGAAGTACTGCAGTTGAAGTGAAAGTTATGTACTTATTTTTAAATATATTGGTTGGATAGACAAAAGTACGAAGACGCAGAGGAAGAACTTTCCATATCCGTGGAACCCTAACAATAAATTGTCGTTCAAACTCTAAGGAGGAAAATGAAAGTGAAATAACAATATGTGTATGATGGATTGAATGGAAAAAACAAAATGAGTGCGCAATACTTACGGAGAGTTGGATTGAATAATTTTGTAGAATATCATTAATAAACATTGCTTATAGCTTTCCAACATATATAGTATATATTGGGTAAGTGTATCCGGTAAGTCTAGCCCGGCTCTCAAATCCGGACTTTCGGGTAAAAATCTGGGTTCCCAGGTCCGTCCCCCAAGAAAAAAATTGTTTCCCGGAATCAGGGTAAAAATAACTACCTAAAGTCCTTTTACAAAGCCAGAGTTAAGCCCAAATATTATTATATCTATTGCGAATATCAAACACTAAACATCATGAACAGACAACCACCATAATGAAAGATAGAGCAACACCAAGACAACACCTGTCAAATCCCATTTCACTTCCTTCTTCTTAAACATGTCTTTGAAGTAAGCACAACTTATTTTTTAATGTAAAATACATTCGAACTATTATGATTGAAATGCACGCGTTCCAAGGAACTGAACATGCTAGAAGAATGTAGGTAGACGCTGCTGGGACAATGAACAGTCAAACCAAGTTTGGAATCGAAAATTTTGAATGAAAAATTATTTAAAATTGTAAAAATTGTTGAAAACGCGAATTATAATAACCTGCGAATGACGTCGTAAAAGAAAATATGTATAAATCTACTTATATTTGAAACAACATTTAAAATTTTTTGACATATCAATGTCCCAAGCGTTGATGCATCTACCTGTATTCTTCTATGATGGAACTGAACATTTATTCAAATAATTTCTAAGCTTCTATTTACAAGGTTGACAATTTTGGGACTTATGATAGTGTTGGTATTAAAGTAGTACTAATAAAGTCTCTAAAAGTACATTTAAGCAAATACAAAGTGTACATATATTACACGAACTTTAATTAAATAAAACATGAAACTGTGATAATACCATGGTAGAGTCAAAAAGATAAACACATGCAAACATATATTTACAAGTTTATTCAAAATTAATCATTTGACAATATTTCATGGTCAAAATTTACATATACACATCCATTGTAAACACACAAATCAGAGGTGAAAACTTAGTTTTTATGTAGCGAAATTGACAACGTAAATTACAGAAAATGCAGAGATGGGTGTGCATTTTTGAAATGACTTAACCTTCTCATTTTTGCCATGGATATTACTTTCTTAACAAAAAAAGTAAAACAATGAGAATTTTTACTTCACAGCAATTAAATTTTATATTTCTATTTCAAATTTATATACTGTTTTAGACGAAAAATTAAGAATACTAATGATTTAAACCTTTTTTCTATTGAGTGTCATATGTCTGCCCACACTTAGCGCCATGGTAGAATAAAGAAGGTTAAGTCAAACAATCATATGCATAATTTTTTTTTTTCAAAATTATCCATTTGACAACATCTCATTGTTAAAATGATTTTGCAAAACATGAAAACGTATTTCTTATGTAAACAAAAACAATTTTTCGCCGAAATTGATATTTTCCTATTATTCCCAAATCCGAAGAAGAGCCAAATGATGGTCCCAAGCATGTGACTCTTATAATTTTTGGACAGGCATCGTTTAATTTTCCAAACGGAGCTACGTACCATCTTTTCGTCAGCTTCTGAGTATGCATATGTACCGGGATCTAAAAAAAATTAAAAGAATAGATTATGTTGCATTTTGTAAGGTTTATTTATGAGTATACAAAATTTTCACCCGATATGGTGGAGGTATCAGAAGGAGTAATCCCAACTTCATACCAGATCTGTAGTGGAATTCTCTAATTATTTTTTCTATCGAATCGGTATCGTTCAATACCGAATAATGTCGGTTGAAATACCGATTGAAATACCGATTCTACAAATACAAGTAACCGACGGAAAAATCGATAGCATTTACCGACGAATATCGATGGAATGACAAGTGTCGAAAAAATATATATGCCAAATTCATATTTGAAAATGGATAACATGTAAGTATAACAAAAAAGATTAATTTTATTTTCTAACAATTTTACTGTTTTTAGCACTGCTCAATTTTCTGGAGTCAGAGAAGGGTTTGGCCGAGGGAAAGTTTGTGGGAAGGAAAGTACAAGAAAAAAGTGGTTAGAGATTGCTGAAGACCTAAACAATATCTCTGGAGCGGTAAAAACTCTAGAACAGTAGCAAACGGTAAGTTCAATATTTTCTTTACGCTTCCTATTTTAAATAAGTTATCCTTTTTTAGGTTTGGCGCGACCTCAAGTTTAAAACGTCATCAAAATTTAAGACCAGTATCCATCCTTAAGGTAAATTCTACTGATGTAGTTTGCCTCTCGAAGTCGGTCCAAAATCGGCTGGATTCGAGGTAGAGGATAGGCGTAGGGGTCGGATTTGGCATTAAGGTGACGAAAATCCATACAGAGTCTCCAAGCTCCGTTTTTCTTTCGTGCAAGAGTAATTGGAGAACTGTAAGGACTATGTGATGGTTCAATAAATCCGTTCGCCAATAACTCACTGATTTTGGCATCGATCACTTCTTGCATAGTCGGGTTGCGGGCCGCATAACGTAATTTAAATGAACGATCGTCTGTCATGACTATACGGTGCGTTGCGGCCGTAGACGGTCCATGAATATCTCTGAATTTCTGTAGTTCCTGGTCTAGGAAGCTCTGGATCCGTTTTTGCTCCTCTATGGTCGGTGGCTTTGCCGACACAGAAGCCTCTAGGACGTTCTGGCCGTCCAACGTCCTCTGACACCGTTGATCGGGCATTTAGCAATTACACGTAATGCTGGTGTTCAAATGCTGTTTTGACTCTGATGCTTCTCTAGTCGTTGTAAAAACGCAGGATAGCCCAGCCATCGTCTGGCGAGCACCGATCTTTGCCAGAAGATCAAGCCCGATGATTAGGTATTCCGTGGCATCTGGCATGATCAAGAGACGAGCGTGCACAAGTTGACAGCTTAATTCAATAGCTGTTTCGACAGCATGTTCCACATTACGTTGGGATCCATATGCCAAAGTCACCAGAGACGAGCAAGGTATGCGTTCGACTCTAAGTACCGCCGCAAGATATTCCCTGATGAACGACGTGGTGGCTCCTGCATCTACCGTGGCTGCGATTTTTCGTCCAGCGATCCCAACGGTGGCCACCAACCTGTTGCGTGCCATGTGGAGTGTCGTGTCTAATTGAGGGGCTCCTTTTCGAACTGCGGACCCGACTCCCCTCTTTCCTGTGGGTTCCGGTACCCATTTCCCGCTGCTCGTTTCCGACAGCATTCTATGGAACGGATACCTCTTCGTCCGCAATCCCAGCAGAATAAAATTCCTTCTTTTCGACAGCCTGCGGCGAAATGACCATCTTGCCCGCATCTACGACATGCCATTCGTGGATTGATCGGGGACTGGCGGGATATGTTTGGTATGCTTTCAGTGGGATCTAAACGCCGGTGTTGTTCTTTCGATGGTGTCATTAACGGTGGTAGACTCTCCAAGTCTTCGGCCATCGATATCAGTTCGTGCAGGCTCTGAAAGTCACGCCGCCGGATGTACCACAGGTATTCTGGCAGCGCTTTCAATAAATATTTCCAAACGGAGCTACGTCCCATCTCTTCGTCAGCTTCTGAGTATGCATATGTACCGGGATCTAAAAAAATTTTAAAAGAATAGATTATGTTGCATTTTGTAAGGTTTATTTATGAGTATACAAAATTTTCACCCGATATGGTGGAGGTATCAGAAGGAGTAATCCCAACTTCATACCAGATCTGTAGTGGAATTCTCTAATTATTTTTTCTATCGAATCGGTATCGTTCAATACCGAATAATGTCGGTTGAGATACCGATTGTGTTATTCTACAAATACAAGTAATCGACGGAAAAAATCGATAGCATTTACCGACGAATATCGATGGAATGACAAGTGTCGAAAAAATATATATGCCAAATTCATATTTGAAAATGAATAACATGTAAATATAACAAAAAAGATTAATTTTATTTTCTAACAATTTTACTGTTTTTAGGAAAAGGACACGATGTCCCAGGGCAAGCATGGCGCAACACGCAGCACTGCTCAATTTTCTGGAGTCAGAGAAGGGTTTGGCCGAGGGAAAGTTTGTGGGAAGGAAAGTGCAAGAAAAAAGTGGTTAGAGATTGCTGAAAACCTAAACAATATCTCTGGAGCGGTAAAAACTCTAGAACAGTGGCAAACGGTAAGTTCAATATTTTCTTTACGCTTCCTATTTTAAATAAGTTATCCTATTTTAGGTTTGGCGCGACCTCAAATTTAAAACGTCATCAAAATTTAAGACCTTAAAACGGAAAAGAAATGCCACTGGTAATATGCCGTTTACCAAGGTATTCCTCAACTCTATCGAGGAGAGAGTAGTCGCCATGGTTGGATGGGAATACATGAATGTCCCGACAGTCTAGAAATTGAAGTGGTATGGTTTCAGTACATAAAATTTTATTTTATTCATATTGTCATGTATTCCAGGAAAATACTCTTAACGTGTTAATAAATGAAGACACAAGCCAACATGATGTAAACACCTATGAAGTGGAAGTTTTGTAGAATGAGATTGACGCATTACAAAATCACACTTCTTTCAAACATGGTACACAAGAAATCGACAAATCCTCGTATAATAAACGTCTGAAGAAAGACAGCAACAACAAAGAAGAGTTTTTGAAAATAGCCTAAACACAAGCTGAAGCATTATTGGTAATGCTTTCAGTAGCTTTCCTACAGTTTGCTAATTTCTTATAGTTGGCATCTTATATTCGTGCCTTCGAAATTCTTACTTAAAAGATCATTTCTATTTTGATACATTTCATATTGTTTCTGTGTTTCTTTTAGATCCTTGCCAATGCCCAAAAGGAAACTGCACAGGCAATGGTTAAAATATCGGAAAACTTTGCATTTCTTGGTGAAATTTTAGCGGCTCAAAATAGAATTGAAAATTGTGTCAGCAACTATTTTTCTATTTTAAAATTATTTTATGTGCTTAAGATACTATGTACATATGTAAATATCAGAAATGTAAAAAATCAATTTTAAATAAAGTCCTGCCAAAATAACGTCTTGGTTTTTAGTTTTTTGTTTAAATCTATTTATATATAAAACAGTCTATCTATATATAAAACAGTTCATTAACACCCAGGCAAAACGGATGAAGCTAGAATCTTCAAACTTTGGTCAATGTGGGTTTGTAGGTGTGAGATAAGGCAAGGTTTTTCGAAATTCGGAAATTTAAATATTTTTTTTTTTGCACAAACGGATAGAGCTGTACTTCTGAAATTGGTTATAAATGGTCTATGATGAGGTGGAGGATAGATGTATCAAAGGTTTTTTGGAAATTCGAACTACAACACACTCATAGTATAAAAAGCACTAAATTAGGTGCAATTTGGCATTTGTATGCGAACGGATAGTGCTAATATATCGACATTTGGGATAAGAATTATGTTTGGGAGGTAAGGTTGGTATAAGGAGAAAGTACAGAATGGTACTAACTCCGGTATTGCTTGAATGCTTTAACCTACTTAACATTTCTTGGTGCTTTTAAATTCTTTAGCTCAGGAACGAATGGTATCATATGGTATTTTGTTAATTTATTTGATTTCAAATCCGAATGTGTTAAACAAGTCATAGCCAAACAGATTTTCGCTCGCGTTCACGTTAACTACAATGAGAACTACACTTTTTCCCAATTACCGCATTTAATTGTTGTGTGCAATTCGCCTAAAACAGGTATTTTCTTTCTGCCAAATACATATAATATTCGGTCTGTTTTCTTTAGACTTGGTTTATTTAACTGTTCGTAAGTTTTTAAATTTATTGCCGAGATTGACGCGCCTGAGTCCATTTGAAATGCAATTTTATGTCCACTTATTTCCACACCAATAAAACTTTTTAGCTGTTCAATATTTCCCCCGTCAGATATATCAAATATTGTGCCAATCATGCCACTGTTATGTTTTGCTTTCATCTTCAGTTTTCGACATACACACAGCTGCAATATGGCCTTTTTTGCCACACTTGTTACATGTTGCGTTCTTGAATTTACATTCTTCCCTTTTGTGTTTACTAAAACACCCCGAACACGATTTGAATTTTCGGATACTATTCTCCTTGTTTTTATTTTCATATTTTCTGTTTTGTTTGAATTGATCTCTCTTCAATAAATTTACACCTATTGTCTTTTCACTCTTCACCTCTTTTAATACACCAACCGCTGTTGTTGTTGCCTCATATGGCTCTGCTATTAATAACACATCAGTAAGCGTTGATCTCTGCTTCTGGAGCAGAGCATCTCCATCATTTTTTTTATGTGTCTTATGAAAATTTTTTTAAATGTCTTATGAAAAAAAGTGGTTTTTTAAATGTTTTTTATACGACGCAAAGGTTGTTATAATATGAATTTTTCAACAATTTTTAAAAATTTTAATCATTTCCAATTCCAAAATCGGTTTGACAGTTCATTGTCTCAGCAGCTGTGTCGATGCGACTACCTGTATTCTTCTACCATGCAAGGAACTGAACATTTATTCAAATAATTTCTAAGCTACTATTTACAGGGTTGACAATTTCGGGACTTATGATAGTAACGTTCCAATAGCTGCTTAATATGTTCCAAATGTTCTTCTTCAGATTTGGAGAAAACTAGCACATCATCCAGATATACTACGACGAAATCAAGGCCTCTAACAACTTCATCCATAAAACGCTGAAAAGTCTGCGCCGCGTTACATAACCCGAATGGCATTCTTAAGAATTCGAACAGACCAAACGGAGTTATGACAGCAGTTTTTGGAATGTCCGCTTGATTTACTGGTATCTGGTAATAAGCTTTCAGCAAGTCAAATTTTGAAAATACAGTGGAACCAGATAATAACATGGAAAAATCGTTAAGGTATGGTATAGGGTAACTATCTGGGACAGTTATTTTGTTCAGTGCCCTATAGTCCCCACAAGGACGCCAAGAACCATCCGATTTGCGGACCATATGTAATGGATTGGACCAATTACTATTACTGGGACGAATAATACCTTTTTCCATAAGATACTGAAACTCAACCTTTGCAGCAGCTAATTTCTCAGGATCTAATCTTCGGGGCCTTGCCTTAACTGGGTTTCCGTTAGTAGTAATTTGATGTAACACTTGGTGTTGGACATCTATTTTGTTAAGGTTATGCGAAAGTAATTCAGGATATTGTTTTACAATTTCGTGATATTTGCTTTCATCTGTAACCATTTTTATTTGAATATTAGAGCAACCCAAGCTTGATAGTGGTGAATTCAAAAAAGTGTTCCCATCGACTAAGCATTTTCTTTGAAGATCTGGCAATAAATGAAAGAATTTTAAAAAATCGGCACCAATGATTGGTTTGGGTACATCGGCCAAAATGAATACCCATTTAAATTCTCTTCTTAAACCCAAATCGAGAACAATAAGTTTCTCACCAAACGTTGAGATAGGAGTATTGTTGGCAGCATATAAAACTAGCTTTGAAGGGTTTTTTGAGGATTTGCATGGAAAAATTGAAATGTCAGCTCCAGAATCAATCAAGTATTTTATTTTAGTACGGCGTTCAGTAATAAATAAACGATTATTACTACCATCGCCGAGAGACGCCGAACTGTCACACGATGGTTTTACTAGTTTTTTGATAATTGAAACTTACATGGTTGAACGCATTTTGATGCTTTATCAGCAAATCGCCAATGATACCAACACAAACCCGAGTCTTTACGGCTTCTAGATTTAGATCGAGCTCGTGGGACTTGCACAATTTGTTTCGCTTGGTGTTGACGGGAGCGCCGTTTGAGCGCATCAATTCGATGAATAATTTCATTCAACTTACCATCCAACCCGGATGAATCTTGGTTAGTTTTATTATTTGAAGAAATTTCGGAAATTGTTGTTGATGCTGAAAATTGTTCGTAAATTTTGTCTGCTATACCAGATAGATTATCTAAGTCCATGGTATCGGTTACAGCGAGGATGCATTTAACATTTTCTGGAAGACGGTCCATAAACAACGTGCGCATAATTTCATTGCTTACCCTGGTGCCAGCAAGAGATTTCATTCTATGTAGAAGATGTGACGGCTTTTGATCACCTAATTCCAAACCGCTCAGCAATTTCTTCAACTGCGACTCATCTGATTCAGCGAAATGTTTGATTATTCTAGCTTTCATTGCTGCGTATCTTCCAGTTGATGGTGGATTTATCACGATATCCTTCAATACAAACAAAATTGATGGGTCCAGATGACTAATCAGATATTCATATTTAGTAGAATCTTGCGTAATTCCATTTAAATTGAAGCTGGATTCGACTTGTAAGAACCAAATTTCGGGCTCCTCACGCCAAAATGGGGGCAGTTTTGCAATTCTAGCAGCAAAAATGTGCATTGAATTCGAGGGATGAGAATCCCCAACTAAATGCGTATCTCCTCCTGACTGCGATGTGCGAACGTTTTCTTCAGCCATTTCAATTATCGGGGTCACCAAATTGTGGTTAAAACACAATTTATTATAAAAATATTAATAATTATTTATTTTAATAAAAACCAACTTCGTTAGTTGAAAATATTTTTAAGAATGAAAAAATGTGTATTACATGAATTCAAAATATGTATAAACCAAAACCTAAGGCTACATAGTTTTCAATTAAAAAGCAAAGTTAAATGTTCAAAGTAAATATGGGAAAACCCCTACATTGGTATTAAAGTAGTACTAATATAATCTCTAAAAGTACCATTAAGCAAATACAAAGTGTACATATATTACACAAACTTTAATTAAATAAAACTTGAATTTTATATGAAACAATGATATTACCATGGTAGAATCAAGAAGATAAAGTCATGCAAACATATGTTTACAAGTTTTTTCAAAAATTATTCGTTTGACAATATTTCATTGTCAAAATTTATATATATACATCCATTGTAAACACACAAATCAGAATATGCAGAGATGGGTATGCTTATTTGAAATGACTTTACCTTCTTATTTTTACCATGGATTATACTTTCTTAACAAAAAAAAAGTAAAACAATGAGAATTTTTTACTTCACAGAAGTTAAATTTTATATTTCAATTTCAAATTTATATACTGTTTTAGACGAAAATTTAAGAATATGCCCCAAATTAAGATTTTTCAGGATAACTAATAATTTGAACCTTTTCTATTGAGTGTCATATGTCTGCCCACACTTAGCACCATGGTAGAATTAAGAAGGTAAAGTCAAACAATCGTATGTATAAATTTTCTTCAAAATTATCCATTTGACAACGTCTCATTGTCAAAATGATTTTGAAAAACATAAATTCAAATTCAAAATAAAAATTTTGAATTTGAAAATATGAAAACGTATTTCCTATGCAAACAAAAACAAATTTTCGCCGAAATTGATGTTTTTCTGTTATTCCCAAATCCGAAGAAGAGCCAAATGATGGTCCCAAGCATGTGACACTTATAATTTTTGGACAGGCATCGTTTAATTTTCCAAACGGAGCTACGTCCCATCTCTTCGTCAGATTCTGTGTATGCAGATGTACCGGGATCTAAAAAAATTTCAAAGAATAGATTATGTTGCGTTTTGAAAGGAAGGAGTAATCCCAACTTCATACCAGATCTCGTGTTGGTAGAAATATTGGGGTGTGCAAAATTTTAAGACAACTTCCTCTTCACATTGTATATGATATATGGTTGTTTAAAATGTTGAGTCTTTGTGGGGAGAGCCAGGAGGACCGATGTATCCCTTCTCCACAAGAGATCCTGTATTGATGCAAATGTTCGGGTGTACCGTTCAATTCGCCTTTTATGGGTGGCAATGTCATTCAAAATTCTTCTTTAAAAAATGTATATTGCATTAATCAGGATAAAAAGGGCGAACTTCGGAATAAATCCTCTAATTACGGGACACATATTGGGCGAATCATGGATGGAACCGATTACAAAATACCTTTAACCATTTTTTTTCACAAACATTTCACAACATTAATTGAATATTTGAATGGTTTATAAATGTTAATTAACAAGTATTGTTTTTTGTTGTGACAATTCATTTGAACGATTGTATTTGACAAGCTCAGTTACAGAAAAGGCAAAGATGGGAATGCTTATTTGAAATGACTTCACCTCCTTAATTCTACCACGCTTAGCACATGATAATGATAGAGGAATACAGGTAGATGCATCGAATGCATTAAAGGATTTTTCATTTAACATTTTCAGTTCCAAAATTGGTTTGGCAGTTCATGATAGAGCAGAATAGAACCAAACACCATACCAAAAAACTAACCACATTGACCATTTTTATACCCTCCACCTTGAAAAGGAGGATATATTAACTTTGTCATTTCCGGCCGAATTTAATGTTTTTTCTTGTTAACTACAATATTGAAATAACCATGGTACAATAAAATAAATGTAACCTCATTTCAAATCAGCATTCCCAGCTCTGCACTTTCTGTAACTGAGTTGAAGTACTGCAGTTGAAGTGAAAGTTATGTACTTATTTTTAAATATATTGGTTGGATAGACAAAAGTACGAAGACGCAGAGGAAGAACTTTCCATATCCGTGGAACCCTAACAATAAATTGTCGTTCAAACTCTAAGGAGGAAAATGAAAGTGAAATAACAATATGTGTATGATGGATTGAATGGTAAAAAACAAAATGAGTGCGCAATACTTACGGAGAGTTGGATTGAATAATTTTGTAGAATATCATTAATAAACATTGCTTATAGCTTTCCAACATATATAGTATATATTGGGTAAGTGTATCCGGTAAGTCTAGCCCGGCTCTCAAATCCGGACTTTTGGGTAAAAATCTGGGTTCCCAGGTCCGCCCCCCAAGAAAAAAATTGTTTCCCGGAATCAGGGTAAAAATAACTACCTAAAGTCCTTTTACAAAGCCAGAGTTAAGCCCAAATATTATTATATCTATTGCGAATATCAAACACTAAACATCATGAACAGACAACCACCATAATGAAAGATAGAGCAACACCAAGACAACACCTGTCAAATCCCATTTCACTTCCTTCTTCTTAAACATGTCTTTGAAGTAAGCACAACTTATTTTTTAATGTAAAATACATTCGAACTATTATGATTGAAACGCACGCGTTCCAAGGAACTGAACATGCTAGAAGAATGTAGGTAGACGCTGCTGGGACAATGAACAGTCAAACCAAGTTTGGAATCGAAAATTTTGAATGAAAAATGATTTAAAATTGTAAAAATTGTTGAAAACGCGAATTATAATAACCTGCGAATGACGTCGTAAAAGAAAATATGTATAAATCTACTTATATTTGAAACAACATTTAAAATTTTTTGACATATCAATGTCCCAAGCGTTGATGCATCTACCTGTATTCTTCTATGATGGAACTGAACATTTATTCAAATAATTTCTAAGCTTCTATTTACAAGGTTGACAATTTTGGGACTTATGATAGTGTTGGTATTAAAGTAGTACTAATAAAGTCTCTAAAAGTACATTTAAGCAAATACAAAGTGTACATATATTACACGAACTTTAATTAAATAAAACATGAAACTGTGATAATACCATGGTAGAGTCAAAAAGATAAACACATGCAAACATATATTTACAAGTTTATTCAAAATTAATCATTTGACAATATTTCATGGTCAAAATTTATATATACACATCCATTGTAAACACACAAATCAGAGGTGAAAACTTAGTTTTTATGTAGCGAAATTTGACAACGTAAATTACAGAAAATGCAGAGATGGGTGTGCATTTTTGAAATGACTTAACCTTCTCATTTTTGCCATGGATATTACTTTCTTAACAAAAAAAGTAAAACAATGAGAATTTTTACTTCACAGCAATTAAATTTTATATTTCTATTTCAAATTTATATACTGTTTTAGACGAAAAATTAAGAATACTAATAATTTAAACCTTTTTTCTATTGAGTGTCATATGTCTGCCCACACTTAGCGCCATGGTAGAATAAAGAAGGTTAAGTCAAACAATCATATGCATAATTTTTTTTTTTCAAAATTATCCATTTGACCACATCTCATTGTAAAAATGATTTTGCAAAACATAAATTCAAATTCAAAATAAAAATTTTGAATTTGAAAACATGAAAACGTATTTCTTATGTAAACAAAAACAAATTTTCGCCGAAATTGATGTTTTTCCTATTATTCCCAAATCCGAAGAAGAGCCAAATGATGGTCCCAAGCATGTGACTCTTATAATTTTTGGACAGGCATCGTTTAATTTTCCAAACGGAGCTACGTACCATCTTTTCGTCAGCTTCTGAGTATGCATATGTACCGGGATCTAAAAAAAATTAAAAGAATAGATTATGTTGCATTTTGTAAGGTTTATTTATAAGTATACAAAATTTTCACCCGATATGGTGGAGGTATCAGAAGGAGTAATCCCAACTTCATACCAGATCTGTAGTGGAATTCTCTAATTATTTTTTCTATCGAATCGGTATCGTTCAATACCGAATAATGTCGATTGAAATACCGATTGTGTTATTCTACAAATACAAGTAACCGACGGAAAAAATCGATAGCATTCACCGACGAATATCGATGGAATGACAAGTGTCGAAAAAATATATATGCCAAATTCATATTTGAAAATGGATAACATGTAAGTATAACAAAAAAGATTAATTTTATTTTCCAACAATTTTACTGTTTTTAGCACTGCTCAATTTTCTGGAGTCAGAGAAGGGTTTGGCCGAGGGAAAGTTTGTGGGAAGGAAAGTACAAGAAAAAAGTGGTTAGAGATTGCTGAAGACCTAAACAATATCTCTGGAGCGGTAAAAACTCTAGAACAGTAGCAAACGGTAAGTTCAATATTTTCTTTACGCTTCCTATTTTAAATAAGTTATCCTTTTTTAGGTTTGGCGCGACCTCAAGTTTAAAACGTCATCAAAATTTAAGACCAGTATCCATCCTTAAGGTAAATTCTACTGATGTAGTTTGCCTCTCGAAGCCGGTCCAAAATCGACTGGATTCGAGGTAGAGGATAGGCGTCGGGGTCGGATTTGGCATTAAGGTGACGAAAATCCATACAGAGTCTCCAAGCTCCGTTTTTCTTTCGTGCAAGAGTAATTGGAGAACTGTAAGGACTATGTGATTGTTCAATAAATCCGTTCGCCAATAACTCACTGATTTTGGCATCGATCACTTCTTGCATAGTCGGGTTGCGGGCCGCATAACGTAATTTAAATGAACGATCGTCTGTCATGACTATACGGTGCGTTGCGGCCGTAGACGGTCCATGAATATCTCTGAATTTCTGTAGTTCCTGGTCTAGGAAGCTCTGGATCCGTTTTTGCTCCTCTATGGTCGGTGGCTTTGCCGACACAGAAGCCTCTAGGACGTTCTGGCCGTCCAACGTCCTCTGACACCGTTGATCGGGCATTCCGCAATTACACGTAATGCTGGTGTTCAAATGCTGTTTTGACTCTGATGCTTCTCTAGTCGTTGTAAAAACGCAGGATAGCCCAGCCATCGTCTGGCGAGCACCGATCTTTGCCAGAAGATCAAGCCCGATGATTAGGTATTCCGTGGCATCTGGCATGATCAAGAGACGAGCGTGCACAAGTTGACAGCCTAATTCAATAGCTGTTTCGACAGCATGTTGCACATTACGTTGGGATCCATCTGCCAAAGTCACCAGAGACGAGCAAGGTATGACGAATGACGTGGTGGCTCCTGTATCTACCGTGGCAGCGATTTTTCGTCCAGCGATCCCAACGGTGGCCACCAACCTGTTGCGTGCCATGTGGCGTGTCGTGTCTAATTGAGGGGCTCCTTTTCGAACTGCGGACCCGTCTCCCCTCTTTCCTGTGGGTTCCGGTACCCATTTCCCGCTGCTCGTTTCCGACAGCATTCTATGGAACGGATACCTCTTCGTCCGCAATCCCAGCAGAATAAAATTCCTTCTTTTCGACAGCCTGCGGCGAAATAACCATCTTGCCCGCATCTACGACAGGCCATTCGTGGATTGATCGGGGACTGGCGGGGTATGTTTGGTATGCTTTCAGTGGGATCTAAACGCCGGTGTTGTTCTTTGGATGGTGTCATTAACGGTGGTAGACTCTCCAAGTCTTCGACCATCGATATCAGTTCGTGCAGGCTCTGAAAGTCACGCCGCCGGATGTACCACAGGTATTCTGGCAGCGCTTTCAATAAATATTTCCAAACGGAGCTACGTCCCATCTCTTCGTCAGCTTCTGAGTATGCATATGTACCGGGATCTAAAAAAAATTTAAAAGAATAGATTATGTTGCATTTTGTAAGGTTTATTTATGAGTATACAAAATTTTCACCCGATATGGTGGAGGTATCAGAAGGAGTAATCCCAACTTCATACCAGATCTGTAGTGGAATTCTCTAATTATTTTTTCTATCGAATCGGTATCGTTCAATACCGAATAATGTCGGTTGAGATACCGATTGTGTTATTCTACAAATACAAGTAACCGACGGAAAAAATCGATAGCATTTACCGACGAATATCGATGGAATGACAAGTGTCGAAAAAATATATATGCCAAATTCATATTTGAAAATGAATAACATGTAAATATAACAAAAAGATTAATTTTATTTTCTAACAATTTTACTGTTTTTAGGAAAAGGACACGATGTCCCAGGGCAAGCATGGCGCAACACGCAGCACTGCTCAATTTTCTGGAGTCAGAGAAGGGTTTGGCCGAGGGAAAGTTTGAGGGAAGGAAAGTGCAAGAAAAAAGTGGTTAGAGATTGCTGAAAACCTAAACAATATCTCTGGAGCGGTAAAAACTCTAGAACAGTGGCAAACGGTAAGTTCAATATTTTCTTTACGCTTCCTATTTTAAATAAGTTATCCTATTTTAGGTTTGGCGCGACCTCAAGTTTAAAACGTCATCAAAATTTAAGACCTTAAAACGGGAAAGAAATGCCACTGGTAATATGCCGTTTACCAAGGAATTCCTCAACTCTATCGAGGAGAGAGTAGTCGCCATGGTTGGATGGGAATACATGAATGTCCCGACAGTCTAGAAATTGAAGTGGTATGGTTTCAGTACATAAAATGTTATGTTATTCATATTGTCATGTATTCCAGGAAAATACTCTTAACGTGTTAATAAATGAAGACACAAGCCAACATGATGTAAACACCTATGAAGTGGAAGTTTTGTAGGATGAGATTGACGCATTACAAAATCACACTTCTTTCAAACATGGTACACAAGAAATCGACAAATCCTCGTATAATAAACGTCTGAAGAAAGACAGCAACAACAAAGAAGAGTTTTTGAAAATAGCCAAAACACAAGCTGAAGCATTATTGGTAATGCTTTCAGTAGCTTTCCTACAGTTTGCTAATTTCTTATAGTTGGCATCTTATATTCGTGCCTTCGAAATTCTTACTTAAAAGATCATTTCTATTTTGATACATTTCATATTGTTTCTGTGTTTCTTTTAGATCCTTGCCAATGCCCAAAAGGAAACTGCACAGGCAATGGTTAAAATATCGGAAAACTTTGCATTTCTTGGTGAAATTTTAGCGGCTCAAAATAGAATTGAAAATTGTGTCAGCAACTATTTTTCTATTTTAAAATTATTTTATGTGCTTAAGATACTATGTACATATGTAAATATCAGAAATGTAAAAAATCAATTTTAAATAAAGTCCTGCCAAAATAACGTCTTGGTTTTTAGTTTTTTGTTTAAATCTATTTATATATAAAACAGTCTATCTATATATAAAACAGTTCATTAACACCCAGGCAAAACGGATGAAGCTAGAATCTTCAAACTTTGGTCAATGTGGGTTTGTAGGTGTGAGATAAGGCAAAGTTTTTCGAAATTCGGAAATTTAAATATTTTTTTTTTGCACAAACGGATTGAGCTGTACTTCTGAAATTGGTTATAAATGGTCTATGATGAGGTGGAGGATAGATGTATCAAAGGTTTTTTGAAAATTCGAACTACAACACACTCATAGTATAAAAAGCACTAAATTAGGTGCAATTTGGCATTTGTATGCGAACGGATAGTGCTAATATATCGACATTTGGGATAAGAATTATGTTTGGGAGGTAAGGTTGGTATAAGGAGAAAGTACAGAATGGTACTAAATCCGGTATTGCTTGAATGCTTTAACCTACTTAACATTTCTTGGTGCTTTTAAATTCTTTAGCTCAGGAACGAATGGTATCATATGGTATTTTGTTAATTTATTTGATTTCAAATCCGAATGTGTTAAACAAGTCATAGCCAAACAGATTTTCGCTCGCGTTCACGTTAACTACAATGAGAACTACACTTTTTCCCAATTACCGCATTTAATTGTTGTGTGCAATTCGCCTAAAACAGGTATTTTCTTTCTGCCAAATACATATAATATTCGGTCTGTTTTCTTTAGACTTGGTTTATTTAACTGTTCGTAAGTTTTTAAATTTATTGCCGAGATTGACGCGCCTGAGTCCATTTGAAATGCAATTTTATGTTCACTTATTTCCACACCAATAAAACTTTTTAGCTGTTCAATATTTCCCCCGTCAGATATATCAAATATTGTGCCAATCATGCCACTGTTATGTTTTGCTTTTATCTTCAGTTTTCGACATACACACAGCTGCAATATGGCCTTTTTTGCCACACTTGTTACATGTTGCGTTTTTGAATTTACATTCTTCCCTTTTGTGTTTACTAAAACACCTCGAACACGATTTGAATTTTCGGATACTATTCTCCTTGTTTTTATTTTCATATTTTCTGTTTTGTTTGAATTGATCTCTCTTCAATAAATTTACACCTATTGTCTTTTCACTCTTCACCTCTTTTAATACACCAACCGCTGTTGTTGTTGCCTCATATGGCTCTGCTATTAATAACACATCAGTAAGCGTTGATCTCTGCTTCTGGAGCAGATCAGCTCTAACTGAGTCATGTGGTGTGTGAACTATTATGTGGTCTCTGATCATGTCGTCGACGAAGCTAGGTGCGCATTCTGTTGCGCTACATACGAAACTGCAAGCTCTCGCTAGACTCGCAAATCTGCTATCCATTTACTGTATGGTTGTGTACTTCTCATTTGTCTCTTGAAAAACTCATACCGCGCTGCTACTACATGTTGACATATAGCGATATGTTCTGTTAGCTTCGATGTTAGCTCTTTATACGTATACTGTTCTAGACTCGCGACACCAAAAAAATTTTTTAGCAAATCAAATACTTCAGCACCACACCACGACAAAAAATGATTTTTGTTTTTCTGCATTAGCGACTACCTGTATTCTTCTACCATGCAAGGAACTCAACCATGGTGTAATTATTACAGGTAACAGCAAGTCCCAGCTGATTTGACTCTATAGTAATACCAGTATCAAACTCGATATGACGTTTTGTAATTTAATTCCATTCCCTGATATTCAATAGGTATAGCTTTTTTTGATATAAAAATTTACTGCAGGGCAATGTAAAAATATTTTTTGGCTAAGAATAGAAAAAATCGCCGTTGTACTTAACAAAACACCAAAGGCGATTGTTCGGAATCTTTTTTTGCGGTTAAGGAACAGCGACACCACGTTAGAAAATATAGTCATATATTTCATGTTTCCTAAAATTAGAAAATGTAGATACTTTATATATGTATGCTGTTTGGGTTCAACTTGAAAGGGATGTTGCCTTTTCCACGATTTTCTAGTGATTGCTTGAAGTGTTGAGAGATTAGGAACAAACAGCTAACAACTATACATTCAGGGAAATGAATTTTATATGAAACAATGATATTACCATTTCTATTAGAATCAAGAAGATAAACTAATGCAAACAAAACATAACAAAAAAACATAAATTCAAATTCAAAATACACATTTTGAATTTGAAAATATGAAAACGTATTTCCTATGCAAACAAAAACAATTTTTCGCCGAAATTGATATTTTTCTGTTATTCCCAATCCGAAGAAGAGCCAAATGATGGTCCCAAGCATGTGACACTTATAATTTTTGGACAAGCATCGTTTAATTTTCCAAACGGAGCTACGTCCCACCTCTTCGTCAGATTCTGTGTATGCAGATGTACAGGGATCTAAAAAAAAATTAAAAGAATAGATTATGTTGCATTTTGTAAGGTTTATTTATAATTATACAAAATTTTCACCCGTTATGGTGGAGGTATCAGAAGGAGTAATCCCAACTTCATACCAGATCTCGTGTTGGTAGAAATATTTGGTTGTGCAAAATTTTAAGACAACTTCCTCTTCACATTGTATATGATATATGGTTATTCAAAATGTTGAGGCTTTGTGGGGAGAGCCAGGAGGACCGATGTATCCCTTCTCCATAAGAGATCCTGTATTGATGCAAATGTTCGGGTGTACCGTTCAATTCGCCTTTTATGGGTGGCAATGTCATTCAAAATTTTAACCCGTGAGGAACTAGTAGGAGTGGTCCGTTCTATTCGTTTCTCATATGCAATCTTTCATAAGACAATCGGAGGTACTAAAAAGCTGGTCGATATTGTCCCTTTTCACACCTGACCGAGAACTGGTGCAAATATTAGTATTTATTTTGAAGCAGTTAACCAATATGAGTTCAATGCAGGCTACACGAATCAAAGTTTTGAAATGATGTCACCATCTGTGACCATATGTTATAGAGGGTACAGGTTTCTTCTTTACAAAATGTATATTGCATTAATCAGGATAAAAACGGCGACCTTCGGAAAAAATCCTCTTTTTACGGGAACCGATTACAAAATACCTTTAACCATTTTTTTCACAAACATTTCATTTCACAAGATTGATTGAATATATGGATGGTTTATAAATGTTAATTAACGAGTCTTGTTTTTGTTGTGACAATTCATTTGAACGATTGTATTTGACAAGCTCAGTTACAGAAAAGGCAAAGATGGGAATGCTTATCTGAAATGACTTCACCTCCTTAATTATACCACGCTTATCTCATGATAAAGATAGAGGAATACAGATAGATGCACCGACGCTTGGGAACATTAATATGTCAAAAATGTTTAAATGTCTCTTCAAATATAAGTAGATTTTTATAAGTTTTCTTATACGACGTCATTCGGAGGTTATTATAATACGCGTTTTCAACCGTTTTTACAAATATAAATAATTTTTCATTCAATATTTCTAATTCCAAAGATGGGAATGCTTATTTGAAATGACTTCACTTCCTTAATTCTACTATGCTTAGCACACGATCATGATAGAGGAATACAGATAGATGCATTAAATAATTTTTCATTTAACATTTTCAATTTCAAAATTGGTTTGGCAGTTCATTGTTCCAGTAGCTGTTTCGATGCGTCTACCTATGTTCTTCTACCATGGCACATGATAGAGCAGAAAAGAACCAAACACTATACCAAAACACTAACCACATTGAAAATTTTTATACCCTCCACACCCTCCACAAAAAAAGTAACCTCATTTCAAACCAGCATTCCCAGCTCTGCATTTTATGTAACTGAGTTGAAGTACTGCAGTTGAAGTGAAAGTTATGTACTTATTTTTAAATATATTGGTTGGATAGACAAAAGTGCGAAGACGCAGAGGAAGAACTTTCCATATCCGTGGAACCCTAACAATAAATTTTCGTTCAAACTCTGAGAAAAATAAAAGTGAAATTACAATCTGTGTATGATGGGTTGAATGGGAAAAAACAAAACTGGTGCGCAATACTTACGGAGAGTTGGATTGAATAATTTTGTAAAATATCATTAATAAACGTTGCTTATAGCTTTCCAACATATATAGTCTATATTGGGTAAGTGTATCCGGTAAGTCTAGCCCGGGTCTCGAATCCGGACATTCGGGTAAAAATCTGGGGTCCCAGGTCCGTCCCCCAAGAAAAAAATAGTTTCCCGGAATCAGGGTAAAAATACCTACCAAAAGTGCCAACGTTAAGCCCAAATATTATTATATCTATTGCGAATATCAAACACCAAATTTGAAACAAATTTGGGTTGTAAAATTTGTGCAAGAGCTTGTTATTGCGGCATGGTAGTACCCATGGTACAATGAATTCAAGGTAGGGCAGAACTACCATATGATTTCAATTTTTTTATTTTTCTGGCTTAATATGTCAACTTCATTTGCTTATGTGTGTGTCTTCTTTTCAATAATAGAAAAATTGTTCACAAAATATTCAAATTCGGGTGTTTTTAAAATGCTTATTGCAACGTATGCATCGACAAAATCTACAGTTTTTGTCGCGAAATAAACCATAAGAGATATATAGAACATGATTTTGAAAAGAAATGTTGACCTTTTATTCAGTTTTCGCGGTTTTAAATTATTTATTCAAAATCAATGCAACAAGTTGTTTGCTTTTTTATTTTTTTGATAGCAATTCTGACATTACAAGCCAAACAGGTAGACCTCTATACTTGCATTTTTTTCAAAGTTGACCTACCTTCTCTTCATTGTACCATGGTAGTACCTATCAGAGACCGACTACGAATCACCGCAACTCCGTAGTGTATCGAATAAACAAATCATATTAATAAAATTAAACATTTTAGGAATATTTGTTGTGCATTTTAATTCAATAATTCAAATCATAAAAAATTACATTTTAGGAATTTAGGAATAAAAATACTTTATAGGTTTATTTACAGTTTTGGACATATAAGTCTGACATAAGATTTACGTACAAAATCTGCTAATTATTCTACCATGGGTAGTACTTATTGATTGTGTCGTGGGTTCAACATAAATTAGTATTTGTCGTACAAAATTTTATCTGGTAACACTGATTATTATATTCCTTTTCCATAATTTTTAAGCATCACTCAAACCTAATTGAGATGACAAATATTCTGATTCATTAGCATTGCAATGTGATTTACTATGATTCATTTCTATACTTTTTTTACAACTCGAATGGTTTGACGACAAAATCTTCACTTCGATGGAAAAAATCGTTAGTTGCGTATAACTTTTGCACGTACACACATTGTATGTAACAGCTTTTAAATTAAAAAAATACTTGCAAAGTGGAGTTACCCTAAATCCTACACCTCAAAATATTGTAACAAATTGCAATAATTATATTGTTCTTCAAAATGGATGAGGAGAAAATGTGGAAAGGTTTTTATGACAAACTACAAGAAATGAAAATGAATCCACCAACAGAACATGAACACAGGTAAAGATAGCAATGATCGTGAGTTTATTTTTATTGCGAATCGTAGTTCAAAGTGGTTTAATGTAAATTTAGCTCTTTAGAATGATAATAAAAAATAAACTCTGTATTCGCAATTGTTGAGAGGAAATTTATTTTGGTAAAAATACTACAATTGCAAAGTCCCTAGTTGATAAAAATTCCAAAGCGCCGTCGTGGATTTTGTTTAACTAAAATATATTTCAATGATACGTCAAGCTAAACACTGATTCACCGCAGTGGCGTACACATTATTGATACAGTGGTTTACAGAAATGAAATAACTGTCACATTTGACTTAGTGTTTTATTAATCATTTATTCATTTAAAACGTGCATCCGCAGTGTGACTGCAGCTGCGTCTATATTAAAGACTTTAAAAAAAGTTTTGTTTTCAACTGTGTTATTGTATTCCCGAACTTTTTTCATGTTTAATCTGGTAAATTCTTTACATCACATAGCACTCGTCATTTTGCATGTTTCTGTCACAAATTATTTCTAATGTTCAGGTGTGTGATATCATTTTCGGCACTAATTATATAGACTGGTTCACCGACGTAGACAATTTATTTGGGGCCCACAAAATTAATTTTATAACGTTTTATGTTTTTCGGGGATATAAATGCACTGTGGCTTACGGCATGTAGTGCAACCTTTATGATAAATGGCACTTTAGCTTTTTGGTTTTCTATTGGATGGGCCCTTGTCATACGAATATAGAGGTCCACGTTTGTTGTTTTAGAATTGAAGACAAAGCTACAATCCATGGTAAAATTAAGAAGTTAAAGCCATTTCAAATCGTATTATTAACGTCTTGGAGACCAGAATTGGCCACCTAAATCCTGCCATTTAACACCTTTAGATTTTTATCTTGGGAGCTTTTTTGGAATCGATGGTTTAATGAAATACTGCAGTATTAATGCAAAACGGCCACGTGTATTACAAAGCCGCGGCGGTCATCTGCACGATTCCTTGTTCCATATATAACCCCATTCTGTCTACTTTAAGATATAATAAAGTTTTACATTTTTTAATATCTGTGTTTAATTTAAATTTTAAAAATTTCATTCTACTTGGGACGCACGATATTAACTTCAAATAGGCCGGTTGTCGGACAAATAAATGTTTTTTTAAGTTTACTTCCTGTAGTGTGTGTTGAACATACCCAAGCTACAAAAATGCAGCTCTGTGCTGAAGTCATGGGAGAAGAATACAGGTAGATGCATCAACGCTTGGGAGCATACATACATACACAAAATGTGTATATGTTTTGACAAAATAAGGTCACCAAAAGAAAAAATTGTATAGAGGGGTAGCTTTGTTCTGCCTTCTATAATTATGACATGCTTCCACGTATTAATCGTATCTTCAATTAAATGGTTGTGTAGCTTTTTTACTACATGGCAGAAGAATACTGGTAGATGCATCAACGCTTGGGAACATTGATATGTCAAAAATTTTAAAATGTTTTGGCAAAAATAAGTAGATTTTTATAAGTTTTCTTACACGACGCAAATCGGAGGTTATGATATGTATTTTTTCAAATTTTTTTTACAAATTTCATTCAATATTTTCAATGTCAAAATTGGTTTGACGGTTCATTGTCCCAGCAGCTGTGTCGATGCGACTACCTGTATTCTTCTACCATGTTTTAGTGTTAGCCTAATACCATTGCAAAGGCGTTGTTGGTCAATCTTAAGTTCCGCCACACATTCTGAATTTCACGATTCTGAAAGAGAATTGTCTATATAAGTCTACGATATCGTATATCCCCCATTTAACAGTACCTCCCGATATTCGGTATTTTGATGATTGTAGGCACATTTTTCAATAGATTTGTCTAAAAAACTACACAAAGGGTTCCTAAGTACTTTTCCCCTAGCTCCGCGATATCGAATAGCTCCCGAACATCTGTACCCACCACCGATATTCGTTATTTAGAAGATTTAAGCGGTTTATATTTGTTAAAATTAAAATCAGCACAATTTTTCCCAATTTTCTCTTAAATTAAAATATTGTGGCAACGAACAAAACTTGTTACATTTATTATTAGGTTCAGAGTCGTACTTTTTAAATTTGATCAACCTGTTCTTGTAATGATTGTATCATGGATATCAAGTAAGGACTTGCGCTTACTCTAGTTAAAAAAAATTCGCATCTCTTTGCGAGTGTTTTACCCTCTGAAAGAGAATTGTCTATATACGTCTACGATATCGTATATCCCCCATTTAACAGTACCTCCCGATATTCGGTATTTTGATGATTGTAGGCACATTTTTCAATAGAATTGTTTAAAAAACTACACAAAGAGTTCTTTCTAAGTACTTTGCCCCCTAGCTCCACGATATCGAATAGCCCCCGAACAACGGTACCCACCCCCGATATTCGCTATTAGATGAATGAATGATTTATTCTACATCCATAGTAAAATAAGGAAGGTAAAGTCATTTCAAATAAGCATTTGCATTTTCTGTAATATACTTTGTCAACTTCTACTGCGTAGAAGACAGGATCCCATCTCTGATAGGTATATGTAGAGGTGTATGTACATGTTGCCAAATGAATAATTTTTAAGAAAATTTTATACATATGATTACATGACTTCACTTTTTTAATTCTACAATGCTTACATCATAGAAAAATGTATAAATATAAATTGTTTTGAAGTAAATTAGCTTGTTTCTCACAATTATGTGAAATTAATAGCTTCACATCATCTGCGTGCATTAACAATTTCAAATAATTTATAGAATTAAGAACATCGTTGATAAATAAAAGAAAAAGAACCGGTCCAAGGTGGCATTCTTGCGGAACACCCGATGGAACATGAATCTATTTTGATAGACACCCTTCGAAAAAGACTAGTTACATCTTGTAAGAAAGGTTTGTTTGTTTGTATTAAAGCCCATGTAATAGAATTACTATACATTAGGAGTTCATTGTTAATCGATTGTTGTTTTTTTTAAACAACGTTTGTTTATCATAAAACAAAAATCGCGGAACTGAGTCTAACTATTCTGCAAAAAAAAAAAAAAAAAAAAGCAGAAAGAAAAGATAAATTCATAGTTGGGCAATATAATGAAAGAGAAATTGTATGAAAATTTTAAAAACAACTGTCTTGCATCGAATTTTAAATTATTTAAAAATTTCGTATAAGTCTCTTGATTTTTTATTACTTAAAGCAAAACATATACATACAACATGTAAACGTTATTGCAGATGTTAACAAGAACAGAGAAAATGTTTTACAAAAAAAAGAACGTTCTTAGGCTACTGTTGAAAGACTAGTATTTACTATTTCCGCACAAGGAGTTGTAGACTAGATGCCGTATTAAATGAACTTAAGGATTTTTTTCAACTGATACTTACCGTCTACTTGAGAGATCAATTCACAAAATCAAAAATTCCACTTAAACTGATTCGATTTTGTCAGACTAGCATTAGTTAAATGACCCCACAGAAGACATCCGTATTCTAATACAACCCGAACAAAACTACCAAACAACAGAGATTACATTTTCACGCAATACCATTTGCACTACATTAGTTCTCAAGGGAATGAAAATCTTATTGCAAGAAAATCTAATCATCAAAGCAATTTGCATGCAGTACATACATAGAGAATTGTATGTGGTCCGGGAACAAAAAAGAACAAAAAGTGAATAACCTAAATGACTCCGCTGACACAAGAAGAAACAACACTATTGTTGAAAGATCAATCATAGCATAGTACTTTTTCGATACGGCCTTCTAAGTATGGTAGAATCCAGCATAATAGAGAAGTCAGAAAACACATGTCATTTCGTTTATGAAGCAAAAGCTTATGTACCACGGTATCAAAAGCTTTACTAAAGTCTGTAAAAATAGCATCAGTTTGTTGTTTTTTACAAATCTGTTGTGAACATGGCACACAAATTTTAAATGATTGTCTTCTAAACTTCAGAGATGAAGTTTTTCGAATTTTCACTGCAACCGCCTCAATCGGATGCTGACATTTTGAAGCCAAGCACTAGTTTCTTTTTTTTTTGAATTTGATGTGAATGCATATCCACGGTTCTTGATTGATCGTACGAAAGCAGCATAGAATGATATGTTTCTTTATAGGGATAATCAAAATCGGAATCATATAAAATGTAAATGCACTTTGGGGATATTGTGGTAATTTTCTTGTTCTTACATAATAAACTGCAACTGATGGGACATCGTGGTCGCCTAACAAAATCTCACAAAATGTTTATCAATTAATTAAATATATACTTATAGTACTCCTAAGACGATTGACTTTTAAATTTCCCATCGATAGTCCCCATCATAAAAAAAAAACAATTAAGTTCTCTCTTTTGACATAGGTGTTATAAATTGTAAACCTGTCGATTTTAGTTAGTGTGAGGTACTAAGACAAATTCCTTGACGGAAACAGTTGAAATATAGTATTTATGACTTCTAAAGGGTAGACATTTTCGACACCATCTTGATGTTTCCACTAAAACAATTATAATGGCTCAAGTTTTAATATTGCTGTGGTACCGATAGATTCTATGCATTTTTAAACGAAGATACAGTAATTTGATATTTTTTATCGTCTATATATTGTTAATATATATGTTAAATCTTTTGACGGTTTCGACTCCCTGAATGACTGTAGAAATATTCACCAGGCTCCTGATCCGGTATACTTTAATTGGTTGGAAGGTTATAAACCCATTTTCCCGCAAAGTAACTCTTATTTAGCAATTTAAAATTCTTCTCGATTAAAATTCTTTTTTTCCAAATATGTAAAAATTTTTAATTCCTAATATGTTAGTTACATACTCTCCATACCATAGGGATATATTCATTTTGTTATTTAGTTGTAAAGCCCCAGAGGGCATATATTCTTGATCAGAGTAAAATTCTATGACGATTCGCCTTACGATTTTTTATACCCTCCACCATTTTATGGAGGATATATTAACTTTGTCATTCCGTTCGTAACTCCTCGAAATT